TGATTCTTGGTCAAATTGGTGATGGGTGCCGTGATAGTGCTGAAATCTTTTACAAACCTCCGGTAGAAAGAGGCAAGTCCGTGAAAACTCCGAACCTGTTGCATATAGGTGGGGATCGGCCACTCCTTGATGGCTTGTGTCTTCTTTTCATCAACTTTTATGCCTTCACTTGAGATGAAGTATCCCAAGAACTCCGTTTCATAGGAGAAGAATTGGCTCTTCTCGAGGTTCCCGTACAGCTTCTCTTCGTCCAACTTCTTAATCACCAAAGTGAGGTGATTAACATGCTCTTCTTCGCTCTTGCTATAAATAAGAATATCATCGAAGTATACGACGACAAAATGACCTATGAATAGCTTCAAGACTTGATTCATAAGTCTCATGAATGTACTTGGGGCATTAGTTAACCCGAATGGCATGACCAACCATTTGTATAGCCCAAACTTCGTCTTGAACGCTGTTTTCCATTCATCTCCTTCAAAGATGCGAATTTGATGACAACCGCTCCTAAGATCAATATTGGAAAAGATCTTAGAACCATGTAGTTCATCCAACATATCCTACAATCGGGGAATTGGGTAACGGTACTTGATAGTGATCTTGTTAATAGACTGACTATCACAACACATACGCCAAGTCACATTCTTCTTTGGCACCAAAAGAGCAGGGACAACACATGGACTCAAGCTTTCTCTCACAAATCCTTTGGTTAGTAACTCATCAACTTGCCTTTGGATCTCCTTAGTTTCTTCGGGATTCATTCGGTAAGCTGGTTTGTAGGGTAGGGCAGCCCCCGGGATGAGATCAATCTTGTGTTGAATGTCTCGTTTTGGTGGGAGGTCGTGGGGGACATCTTCGGGAAAGACATGGGAGAATTGCTCCACAATGGGTTTGGCTAATGGGTGAAGAGGGAGTGGTAAGGAAATGGGCTCGGGTGCTTCATGCTCGAAGAGAATTAGTTCCTTTTGGGGTTCATACTCATGGTGCTCGGCTTGTAATATAGTGGAGATGAGGGCAGGGGTTTCTTCTTTGGATGGTGGGGGAGCCGCGGGGGTGGGGGGAAGTAAGGAGGTGAGGGTAACCTTCTTCTTGTTGATGAGGAATGAATATGTGTTGGCATATCCATCATGGATTGCCTTCCGATCAAATAACCAAGGTCGTCCCAAGAGAATATGGCAGGCATCCATTGGAATGATATCACACCATATCTCGTCGGAATAGCTTCGTCCAATGCTCAATGATATCAAACTCCGGGAATCCACGCGTAACCCCTTACCATGATTCAACCATTGAATCGTGTATGGCTTTGGGTGTGGGGAGGTCTTCAACTTCAGCTTATCTACCAACGTTTTTTAGGCTACATTGGTACAATTTCCGCTATCCACGATTAAAGTACACACCTTCTTTTGGATAATACAACGGGTATGGAAAATGTTTTCCCGTTGTAGTTGATCATCGGGACTAGCTATGCTGCTCAAGGTCCTTCGGATGACCAAGAGTTCTCCTTCATCGGCTCCTACACATTCTTCTTCTTCAATATCTTCTTCAGGCCATGAGGGGCTGATTTCCTCTTCTTCATACTCAACAATAGCCATTATCTTCTTGTTGGGGCATTCATTGGCAAAATGACCTATGCCTTGGCAACGAAAGCATTTGGGAGTTCGTGTATTTGTTTGGGCTATTTTGAAGGGGGGTGGGTTGGAGGAAGTAGACAGGATGGAGTTGGGTTTTGAGGGGGTGTTTTGAACAGGGGTATTTGGGGTTACTTTTGAGGTAGTAAGAGGGGGTTTGCAGAAGGGGGAGGTACGAATAAACGAGGTTTTGTTTCTCTTAAGTTGGGATTCAACTTTAAGAGCCAGCTTAGAGAGTTCCTCAAAGGTATCATAGGGTTGCAGCTCAACTATATTAGCTATTTGAGTATTTAATCCAAATAGGTAACGTACCAATGTTTGTGAATCGTTTTCCTGAAGGTCACACCTCATTAAGAGTTCTTCAAACTCCCTAGTATAGTCTTCAACCGAGCGAGGACCTTGCCTTAGGTGTTGAAGCCGGGCAAAGTTGTCTCGTACATATTGCTCAGGCAAGAACTTCTTCTTCAACAAGCTCCTCATTTTGAGCCAGGTCTTCACAGGAGCCTTATTCTCTCGCCTTCTTTTGGTGGACAAGTTGGACCACCAAGTGGACGCATACTTCCTGAACTTCAGCGCCACGATTTTGACTTTCTTCTCCTCGGGCACATCTTTGAAGTCAAAGACATGCTCAACAGTCTCGAGCCACTCTACAAAGTCGTCGGGATCATTCTTTCCTTCAAAGGTTGGTATGTTAACCTTGAAATCATTAGCTCCTCGTTCATAATTCTCTCCTCTAGTGGTGTTACTAGAGTTATCTTCGAGAGGAACCTCTTCTTCTTCATCGCTTTCCTCCGGGGTGTTCACCATGTTCATCTTGAGCTTGGTGAGTTCGGCAACTTGTTTTGCCAAGTACTCAACTTGGGCTTTGAGGGCGGCATTAGAAGCTAGGAGTTCTTCGTTGGAAAGGTTGTTGGAAGTGTTTGACATGATAGTAAGGAAGGGGATGAAAAGGGAATAGAGTAGTAGTTTATGGAGAGGGGAAAAGGAATGGAAGTGTGTTTTTTGGCCTCAAGAGGATGCTTGACAACAAGCATTGATACCAAATGTTGTACCCAAGATCCGGGGTTAAGCTTAAGTTTAAGAACAAAGCTCCTTAAACTGCAGGGAAGAGGAATAGTCAATTATCTTGGTAAGATACTCGACTAACAGGTACTTCAGTTTCTCGGGAGAATTTTCTGAAGTTTCAGGAGAGGTAGTTAGTCGATTGACCAAGTGGTGTCAGTCGACTATTGTGGGCTGCAGATTTTTCTAAGGAAGCTGATAGTCGATTGTCTAAGATTGACAGTCGACTATTGAAGGCTGCGGGGGTTTTGCGAAAGGCTAAATACTCGATTGTCAAAAGTGATAATCGACTATTGGGCGGCTCAGGAAAGGAAAAGAAGTATTCTTTGGGAAAGGGGAGCAAACCAAGTTGGTGTTAAGAGATATTACACACTCTTATCTTAACTAGGGGTTGAGTCTAGCATTCAAATAAGATATCACACACTNTTGACAGTCGACTATTGAAGGCTGCGGGGGTTTTGCGAAAGGCTAAATACTCGATTGTCAAAAGTGATAATCGACTATTGGGCGGCTCAGGAAAGGAAAAGAAGTATTCTTTGGGAAAGGGGAGCAAACCAAGTTGGTGTTAAGAGATATTACACACTCTTATCTTAACTAGGGGTTGAGTCTAGCATTCAAATAAGATATCACACACTTATTTAAATAACTAGAACCTAAAACTTACACTCAAGAGAACCACTCTTAAGATATAGATTTAGGAATTTTAAATAGCACGCACAAACGAGTGTATTACTAAGTTGAAAATGAGAATACAATGTGTATGTATGCAATGTCCAGGGATGAGCTTATATAGAAAAAAAGATAAGACTACCAAGTCTCTTATTCATACAAATTAAAAGGAATAATAGCCACTTGTTGGTGTCCCTTTGGTGGGGAGAAAATTCAGGAAGGGTTGTACTTGTAGGGTAGGTTTTTTTGGTCATAAATGGTGGGATGGAATATGTGAGTATAATTCACATTTTGATTGGCTTTGGTGGGGTTAATTTTGGGCAGGAGAAGGGTGGTAGGGCTGGTTATTTGGATCCATTTCCTGGGCAGGATATGGTGAGGTAGAACGGGGTTTGAAGGGTGTGGTTGTGGGACAATGTGTCTTGGTTTTTAGTGATTGTTTGCCCAGCCTAGTTGGGGAATCAAAAGTGTGGTTATGGAATGGGTTTGGGCTGGGTGTTTTTCGTCCAAAAGTGAGGAAAGAAATGTGGTTTTGGGCTATCTTTGGATATTTTGGGATTTGGTTTTTTGGGAGAGGGAGACTTGGTTTTAGATGGGTATTGGGCTCAGGGATATTATGGCTATGTTGTGGGTTTTATAACTGATAAGTTCGGCCCAAAAGGGATCGTGACACTTTGCCATTATTCCATTAATTTGTTTAACGACTTTAGAGTCGTTGGTAGTCACCCGGGGTATATCATATTTTAATATGTTATCCTTTTATCATTTTTGGAATTATCTTTTTAGGTTGGCAAAATTTTGAAGAAAATATGAAATTAAAGCAACAATAAAATAATATAGTACGAGCACAATAAACTAGAAATAAATAATTTAACATAAGAATTATGAAGTGACTATTGTTGAATATGTGAGCCCTAAAAGCCAACTTGCTTATGTATCTCAATATTTATAAGAATAAAATGTCTTAAAGATTGTTCATATGTCTCGTGTATCTAAACATAGCTTTAGTCCATAGACTTAGTGTTCTAGTAGCTTAGATTAGATTTACTGTAATGCCCAGAAAATAGGCCTATCAGAATTAATTAATTGATAATTAATTAATTACTGAGAAGGACCCAAAAATAAGTGATTTATAAAATTTATCAATAAATAATGAAAATTATATCATTGTGTAGAGTTTGATTGTCTGACCGCAATGGTTTAATTAGTTTCTAATTCGGAGAAATTTGGCCCAAAAAGTGTACCCTGATTGGGACCAAATTAGTCCCAATCAGGGACTTGTGTTTGGAATCGTAAAAATCGCAGCCCTCTCCACTGAGACTCCGAAGGAAAAGAGCTGCGCAAGTCATCCATTTCTTCTTCTCATTCTTTTTCCTATATAAACCAACCTCTCGTGCCTCAATTCTTCATCATTTCCCTTCAAATTTATTCTGAGAGTTAGTCTTGAGTGTGGAGAACACAGTGGTGCTGCCAATTTGATGTAAAGTCGCCGAAGCTAAGAGTAATCTTCGCCAAAATTTTCTCTGGAAGTTTTGCCGGGAAATTCTCAAAACCTTCATTAAGCTTCGAGGTAAGCCCGTAAATATATCTAGTGAATAGAATGTTCGTATAAATCATTTCTATGTTCATAAACGGTCGTTTGGGTGAGTTTTGTGTTTGACTTGTTTGAAGAACCAAAAATCATAAACCTTGAAATTGTTGTTAAAACTACAAATTAATGATACACGAATGATCAATACGAAAGTTTATTTTCTAATTTGTGTATTTAATATGAGAGTTGATCTACGTTGTAGGGCTCACTGTTTTGAACCCAACCGCGCGAACAAATTGAGAATCGGACTTACTGTGCCCAAGATACGACTGCCGAATAAGGTAATTGGACTTAAATCTATCTTAACTGGTTAGAAAGTGTAAACTGGACCTAAAATCTAATTAATTTCATATTAAAAACTGAAAGGGGTTACTACTCTCCCCCTCTCTCTTACGTTGTTTGTTTCCTTCCTGTAGTGGCCAGTCTTGTTCATCGGCGTCGTCCAGCCGACCCACAGCAGCGCCGGCGAGACTCCAATCCAAGGGAAACAGCGCCGCCGTCATCTCCCTCTCGCTCCTTCCTCTTTCCGCTGGTGTGCGCGCAAGCCGTAGGGTTGCTGACGAGAGCAGCAGCGATTCATTCCGCTCCTTCAAACCAGGTTTCGATTTCTTCAATTTTTGAGGTGATTTGTGGTTTCTATACCTTCCGTTAGCGTTAATTCGTAGATTAGAACTTCTTTAGCGTATAATCTTGCGATTTGATTGAGAATTGTGGATGCTTGTGTTGAATTCATGAAATTGGGGTTTGGGGGCTATTTTCCGGCGTCTTCTCCGGCGACCCGCCGGCAACGTCGGCGGCGAGATTGACCGGAACTGGGCAGCAGCTCTAATTGGATCAATTGGGTCCAAACGGGTTCAATCGGGTTCAATTGGGCTATTCGGATTCAATTGGGTGCAATTGGGTTTGGCTGGACTGTTTGGGCCAATTGACTGGCTGTCTGGGTTGTTGTGAATCACCCAATAGGGCTCTTTGGTCGGGCTATGGGCCTGGGCGGTCGGGTCGGCTACCAGCAGGGGTGCCGGGGTTGGTCCGGCGACGATGGGGACAGCTCCAACGGGAGCAGCGGGCCGGAGGATCGATTCCTTCGGCTCAATTTCGCGCAGGTAAGTTTGGTTGACTGTAATTTAGGTTGTTTGATTATGCATGACGGTAATCGTGGGTCTTCGGCTCCGGATAGGCTGCTACGTGATTTGTTGTGAATTTGTGAACTAATGTTTAAATTAAATTAATCCTATTGGTGAATATTGTGGATTATGAATAATATATGACAAATTGGCCACCTAGTATAATTAGGCGGACCTGAATTGGATTGACTGATTGGATCACCAATAGGATATGGTTAGGAAATTGGCCATTGCGGGGCGTCGTTGCACCCCTGGTGGTCTTGGGTTAAAAACGTACGTACAGAAGTCTGCGACCTGTCCTGGCATCGTAGGGACAGGGGCTTCAACCCGCCCAAAGTGAATCTCTTTTGGGTTTCTGAGCTGGCCTTTTTAAGCATCGCTTGAGGTGCCATGACTCAAAGTTAGTTGATGTGAAATAAAATAATAACAGGATGTTCAAATAGAAGGTGCTAATATAAATATGTTTATTTAAGTTTTTTTTCCTCCGTGATCACATGCTATTGTTTAATTGTATGTTAATGTGGTGCTATTCTGTGAGTTAATGCTGGCTTAAGTATATTTTCAAGAACGCTGAGCGTGTAGTCGTTGTTGTTTGACTGCACGCAGGTAGGAACACAGATTTGGATGGGCAACCCGGAGGGCAGTGAAGTGGTGGTGTGGCGTGGATGGCTCTTGTTTACTTTAATAATTAAACTACATTATTTTCTTTGATTACATGGATTGTTGGACATTATTTTGGTTTTCTTATGCTTCCGCGACGTTTGGATTTACTTAATTATTCCGAGGAACAAGAGTTTACTTTAAACTCTTACGGACGAATTTTCTAATTGATTTAATTGTTTATTTTAGAAAAGAAAATTTTATGCGTGCGAGTGCCAACTTAGTAACAACCCGGTTTGCTAACCCGTTGGTTCGGGTTACGCGGGTTGGAGTGTTACACTCTAAGATATACCCATTTAGCAAGCCTTGCGGGGTATGATGTCTGGTGGCCAAGGTTAAAACATACGTACGGGGTCCACAAACCAAACTTGAGTACCTACTTGTTTGGGGGTACCACCCAACCTGACAGTGAGCATTCCAATGTTCGGTTTCTGGTTGCCCTTAAGCGAAGGCAAGTTTAATATTTTGAAAACCCTTTTGAAAATCTGTATCTTAAACTAAGTCTAGTTTAAAGGTTGGTTTATAACACCGCAACCCCCGTAACTCAAACCAACGGGTTAACGAACCGAGTTGTTACTAGCTTTGAGTCATGGCACCTCAAGCGATGCTATAAAAGGGCCAGCTCAGAAACCCAAAGGAGATTCACTTTGGGCGGGTTGAAGCCCATGTCCTTGTTGGAACAAGGGTTTATGCCTACGTCGTACTAAACCGTGTTCGTTTTATGACAGGTTTTGATAATGCCAAACCGCTACGAAAACAAGAGCAAACTAAGCAAATCAAAGGCAAAGAAACATGACGTGAAGATGAATCGAAAATGAGAACCAAGAACCAAGAACAAAGACTTAGAAATTAGTTGGGTCGGTCTTAATGTGATCAAGACCGGCACAAACTTCTAAACTTGGCTCTCTAGGCTTATTACATTAAAATTCCTTTTTGCATATTCAAAAATGTTTTTCATAAGTTTTAAACAAGCCTAAAACACTTGGTGTTCGCCAAACCAAAAACCAAGCCATCTGGCGTTCGGCTTTCAGAAACCGGCGTTCGGCATTCGGCTATCAGCGTTAGTTTTTGACGTTCAAACCAACCAAGTGGTTTTTAACTTTTTATGATTGGTTTTCACTTCTGGGCACATTTAAATAGTTCTCCAACAAAAACTTTTCAAAAACCACCTTTCGTTTTTGGTCGTTTAGTAAAAACCATGCGAAACGGTGTAAACTTGGCTAGCCGTGGTTTTTATCTAAATGACATGGTTTTTAAGATCTCTCACTTTATTTCTTAGCAAAATACATTAAATAAATGTTTCCAACACTTGGTTTTTATTTTGAAGAACTTAGATTTTTGACATCGGCTTACGGCATGACTAACCAGCCATGGGTCTGGCTAAACCAGCCCAACAGTGATGTTGGAGTGACCAACAACGCTGTCTGGCGTTGGCAGCTGAAAACCATGGTTTGGTGTTAAGTCTTCCAACAGCGATGTTGGTTAATGGACATCGTTGTTGAGCCAAGGTTGGAATTCCAGAAACATCTAGAACAACGATGTAGACTTCTCTACATCGATGTTCAACCTAAGCCAAAAGAAAATGTCTTTGGCTGAAAGTTTTTGGACAACGCTATTGACCCAGCAACATCGATGTCAGACCATTTTTCATCCTTCAAAGTCAGGCCTGAACAGCGATGTTCAAGAAATGAACATCGATGTAGGCACCTGACCGTTGGAAGGAATTTATGGCTAAAACTTTCCATGTTTGGAAGTAAACAGCAAAAACAACGATGTTGGCTATTTGGACATCGTTGTTGGCCTAACCGTTGCTTCCTGATTTTCAAAAACTAAGCCCACAACAGCGATGTCCAAGTTATGGACAACGCTGTCAGGCTGATTTTCAGCAGATCCAATTTTAATCAAATCTCACAAATTATGCCAATCACCCCATTCAACTCCTACCCGTTGGAGCCTATTTTTCCACTATAAAATGGGGTGTTCGGGTCTGCTTTTCACATCACATTACTTCACAACTCTTATTGTTCATTGCATTACATTCATACATTTTCCATAGCTTTTCGAGAGCCATTTTTGTGAAGTTAGTGTTGTGTTCTTGAGCGTTTTAGTTACTGAATATCCACTCTAAAAGAGAGTATTATTGTTCTTGAGTGATTTAGTGTTTTTAGACACTTGGCAAAAGAAAGCTCTTCTCTTGAGTAGTTCGAAGGAAGGGTTGTTTCCTTCGAAGGTTTGTTGAGGTTCGTGTGACTCGAATTCTCAAGTTGTATGGGTTTTTTAAGCACCGTTAAGCTTAACATTGATAGTGTAGCTCGAGAGAGTCTCTCGGGAGGCTGGACTAGCCACACATTGTGGTGAACCAGGGTAAAAACGGTGTGCCTTCTCCTTGCTCTTTTACGTAACGCTTTTAAATTTTTATTCCTACGTTATTCTCGTTTCAAACGCTATTCACCCCCCTCTAGCGTTGGGACGTTTTTCTAACTATTGGTATCGGAGCCTAACTCTCTTCCAGACTTAACCGTTTGAGAGGAATAAGATCATGGGCTTTTCTTCTAGAAATTTGTACGATCGCTTATACATCCTTCCGCACTCTAGCGTGTAGCTAGGTTCGCGTCGCTTAACAACTTTGGCCGCGACCGGGTCCGTTGGTATTGATCCCTCAAGGATGTACATGGTCAACTCATCGATCCAGTCCAGCTCATTGGCTGTGATGACCAAGACTTGTCCGGGGCTGATGCTTGGTTCGAATAACTCCCCTTCTTGTGTCATTGCCTTAATATGTTTGGGGGAATCTAGCCAAGCTTTGAGAGGATGTCTGCCTCAGCGTTTTCCTCCCAGGGGACCTGCTCCATTCGGTATGCTCCGAATGCCTTGAGCAGCTCTAGTGCGACGTCTCTATATTAGATCCGACTAGCCTTTAGGGAAGCCGCCAGCCTTGAGCAGCTCTACCTGACTTAGATCCGACTAGCCTTTAGGGAAGCCGCCAGCCTTAACCGCACAAGAGTGCTTCATACTCAGCCTCATTGTTTGAGACTTTAAACCGGAACCTTATTGAGTAGTACGCCTTGAATCCTTTCGGTGATATTGCCACGACTCTGCCCCCCAAGCATCAATCGCGGACGACCCATCAGTGTATATGGTCCACCAACTTCCATCTTGCTCCTCCCTACCGGTTTCTACCTCCCTCGCAGTGCACTCTACCAAAAAGTCCGCCAAAGCCTCCCCTTTGATCGCTGGTCGTGGTTTGAATTCTATCTGGAGTGACCCCAGGCCCCATTTACTTACACGCGACGGAGCGTTGGGACTCCGGATGAGGGTTCTGATTGGGCTTTGGGACAAGATGTGGACCGGGTGCGCCTGAAAATACGGATTGAGCTTCTTTACTATGCACACTACTGCAAATATGGTCTTTTCCATGTTCGAATGCCTCAACTCTGCCCCTCGCAATACTCGGGCTACATAATACACAGGTTGCTGCGTTTCTTCCTCTTCCCTCACCAGTACTGAGCTCACGGCCCGAGGAGAGACTCCCAAATATAGGTACAACGTCTCCCAAAGCTCCGGCTTCGAAAGCACCAATGGTGAGAGGAGGTATGCCTTCAACCCTTCAAAGGACCGCTGGCATTCTTCGGTTCAGGTGAATCCCTTGCTCTTTTTGATGGTTTGGAAGAACGGTGCCACTCGATTAGCTATTTTCGATAAAAAAATGGCTGACCTTTCCAAGATTGCCTTTACTTTCTCCAGAAGAGCGGCGATCCTTCCCGTCAGTTGTTAAACCTCCTTCACATTCCGTGGAGGTTCCATTTCCAAGATTGCCTTTACATTCTCCAGATTGGGTTTAATGCCCCTCCGGCTGACCATGTGTCCCAGGAATTTGCCTCCTTGAACCCCGAAAGTGCACTTGATCGGGTTGAGGCGGAGCTGATACTTCTGCATTATTCTGAATACTCTTTCCAGGTCTTGGGCGTGGGATGCCATTCGCTTTGACTTGACGATCATGTCGTCCACGTATGCTTCCATGCATCCTCCTAACACTGGTGCGAACAGCTTGTTAACCATTCGTGCGTAGGTCGCTCCAGCGTTCTTTAGCCCAAACGGCATCACCTTGTAGTAGTAAACGCCGTTAGGTGTAATAAAGGAAGTCTTCTCTTCATCTGCCACGAACATCCTTATTTAATGATACCCACTGAACGCATCCATGAAACTCATCAACTCACACCCTGATGTCTCTCCACCAACTGATCAATATTGGGGAGAGGGAACGGGTCCATCGTACGGGCCTTGTTTAGGTCGGTGTAGTCGACACACATCCTCCAGGTATTCCCTTTGGGTGCAATGACCACATTAGCCAACCATTCCGGGTATCGGACCTCCCGGATATGCCCGATAGACTGCAAGGTGGTCACTTCCTTTGTCAAAAAATCTCTCCTTTCCGAGGAGAGGAAACACTTCTTCTCCTTAATTGGCTTGTGTGTCGGGTCCACCGCTAACCAATGACAAATAATTCGCGGGTCGACCCCGGGCATGTCTCTTGGACCCCAAGCGAATAGCACTTTGAATAATTGAAGAACACTTACCAATTGTTCCTTTAGTTCTAGTTGCAGGGCCTTACCTATCTTCACTCTCTGCTCCGGCGTGGCAGGGTCCAGGGCTACTTCTTCGACTTCTTCAGCCGTCTCCGCCCTAGGTCGGCCTTCCTCTTTCTAGATCGCAACACAGATCGTATTGACATTCTCATCAATCTGTGCATGACTCTTGGTCCCTCTGACATAGCACGACCTTGACAAAATCAACCTATGGGGTGCAATTAAAGGGGGTGGGGGGTGTGTTCGGGTCAGGGCGGAGTGAGGGGGTTTATCAAGAGAATTAGGGGGGTAGGAATCGTCAATTTTACGAACGGGGCACCGGAGCGCCCCCGGGTCATCCCATGATATTGGGAACCAATGTCATGGGAACCAAGGGGTATATATATATATATATATTAAATCTTGAAACATATATTTTCATACAGCTAATTTTACCAAACATTTTTAACAATCAACTAACACCGATCAAACCAGAACTAGAAAGCCATTCAGAACAGTTAAGGCCAATAGCTTTCCACCCCAACACTCTTGAACTTTGAATTTAACTTGAGAACGGAGGTATTAATAGAACGGCAATTATATGAAGGGAAAGGTAAACTAGCAAAGGTCGCTTCTAGAAAAATGGCGAGGAACATGATCTTACTTGGCATATACTGGGAAGCAACTTTAAAATGAGCACTAAGGTATTCGTATTGAAGTCTTTTTTTCATGAATGGGCAACATGGCACAAGCCCTAGTCTATTTGGAAACATAAACGGCAGTCAATGAAAAAAACAAAAAAACAAACTGGGGTGGTAGTACTATGATTAAAAGCCATAAGAAAATTGAGCTCCCTGGATTGGGAATCAAATCAAAACAGACAATCTTAGTAACAAAGAAGATCTAAAGCTCACGCCTCCGGCTTTTCACCAGCGGCCTCTGCGGGAGCACTGTACTTGGTTGTGGGGCCAGCCAAGATATCGCTGAACTCCTCGAATGGGGATTTTATGAATTTGGTTTGAGCCCAGAAATCTGGCGTGAGGAATCCGTATGTCTTAGAGAGACAATCAAAAGTAGCCTGCCAAAACAGGGAAAAACCATTAACTAAAAGTACGCAAAAGGATAAACTATGGACAAATTATGTTCCAAATTGCGACAATAAAAAAGAAATCCAAGGCAAGTAAATACACTTCAACACCAAGTCAAATTGATATAAAAATGGATGTATTTTTAGGCATGAAAATGAAAGATCTACACTCAGTTAGTCAGTTCAGGTTTCTTATTTGATTATTTATGTGAAACACATATTTCATAATTTCGTGTTTCAAAAAGATAAGGAATGATTCAATTATTTGTGCATTTCCATGCAATATTTTAGAAACATAAACAATCCAATTGTCAAACAGTCTGTAACTCTTGATAATAGCCAGCAAGAAAATACATGCCAAAGTAATAACCAGCCACACACTTAATTCTATATATGATTGTTTTACATCTATAATTACTAATATTATTATAATTATCACAAACAAATTGATAAAAGAATCGCCTATTCAAAAAAAAGTGAAAAGCTGCACACCAATATAAAGTACGCAGTAATTATCTAGATCTATTTAACTATAGATAATACTCCGTAAAAGAGATTCAAAAACACATGTATTAAAAGAAGATACAAATACCTTGACGAAATTTCCTAGGGTTTTTGTTGAGCCACGGGAAGATGTGAAAACATCTTCAATACCAGCGAATTGGAGGACCTTCTTTGGAACCCTAGCCGCCACAATACCGGCACCTCTGGGAGCAGGAACCATCCGGACGGTTACCGACCCACACTTTCCAGTGACCTTACAGGGAACAGTGTGAGGCTTTCCGATCTTGTTTCCCCAGTAGCCTCTCCTCACGGGAATCAGAGAAAGCTTCGCGGCAATGATGGCTCCGCGAATGGCAGTTGCAACTTCCTTGGAGCACTTGACACCCAGACCTACGTGACCGTTCCCATCTCCCACGACGACGAAAGCCTTGAATCGGGTCCTCTGACCAGCCCGGGTCTGCTTCTGAACCGGCATAATCTTCATCACCTCGTCCTTCAAGGATGGGCCGATGAGGGTATCAACAATCTGATACTCCTTGATGGGGAGCGAATGAAGGTAGATCTGCTCCAATGAACTGATCCTTCCTTCCTTCACCAGCCGACCGAGCTTTGTACATGGAACCCATTTCTCCTCTTCAGTAGCACGGCGGCGGCGACCGCGTCCACGATCTCCCCGAGGTCCACGGTCTCCACGGCCTCCTCGCCTTTCTCCTCCGAAGCCTCGTCCGAAACCACCTCTGTCCGCCATGACTCGGGGCGCACGTTTTCGTTCGCCTACCCAGGTAGCGAAGTAGGGTTTGGGGTGAAAGCCATGTCTAGGCGGAGCAGTTATACATTTTTGACATGGGCCTTCCGTCCTTGAATCAAATTTGTGGGAGCCGAACTCATATCATGTGGCTCTCCTGATTAAAAACCTAACATTTTGGGCCTAAATAATATTTCTTTCATTCCAAATTAGTTGTCGGCTTTACTATTTGGATCTTTCGAAAACTTTTATTTGCAAATACATTATGACTAGTGTTAATCACGTGCATAGTTTTCAAAGCCTAACCGGTCGAGGTACTGGTTCACTAGTCGAACTAGTTGTTCAAACATTTTTGAAATATATATATATATATATATATATATATATATATATATATATATATATATATATATATATATATATATATATATATATATAATACTTGTTCTATCTAAAAATAAGTTATATCAAAACTTTTATAAAATATGAGATTTTATTTTTTCAATAATTTGTCCAATGTTTTCAAAACTTTTTTAAATTGAATATTTCATTGATATGTACTATGGATTTGTAGAATACGGAGTAGTTAAAAGTTTAAATCATAGTTACAATATTATATTTTTTAATGTTTTATGAAAAGAAATCATTTTTAAAAAAAATTTTAAATACGAATTATATTATATTACACCACTTTATGCAATGTATAACACAAGAGGAATCTAGCTAAGGTGGTTAATGAACCAATAAAATGCCTCCACCTCATTATTAAGTGCACATGTGGCATGCCACATGTCAACCTACAACCAACACACTCAACTTTACCTATATATACTAGTATTCTGACCCGTGCCATGCACGGAGTCAACAGAAATTTATGTCGATTCTGAATTATTTCAATGAAATTTATTTTTCGGAAAAAAGAAAATAAAACTATGATCACGTGATTTTTAATACTACAGATGAAAAATGCCAAATTAAAATAAATAATATTTGAGGAACTGACTGTAGAGTTAACAATGTTTATTTTAATACCAAATTTTCTGAAAGACTTCAGGGTATACAACATTTTTGGTATGGTTGCAAGGGTTTCCATGGTCATCTAGAACCNTGCAATGTATAACACAAGAGGAATCTAGCTAAGGTGGTTAATGAACCAATAAAATGCCTCCACCTCATTATTAAGTGCACATGTGGCATGCCACATGTCAACCTACAACCAACACACTCAACTTTACCTATATATACTAGTATTCTGACCCGTGCCATGCACGGAGTCAACAGAAATTTATGTCGATTCTGAATTATTTCAATGAAATTTATTTTTCGGAAAAAAGAAAATAAAACTATGATCACGTGATTTTTAATACTACAGATGAAAAATGCCAAATTAAAATAAATAATATTTGAGGAACTGACTGTAGAGTTAACAATGTTTATTTTAATACCAAATTTTCTGAAAGACTTCAGGGTATACAACATTTTTGGTATGGTTGCAAGGGTTTCCATGGTCATCTAGAACCAATATCTTCAATCTTGTCTTTGTCTTCACTCGTGAAACAGCAGCACAACCGACTTGGTTAAAAATAATCCCACAAATGATAATGTTTGACTTTGACTTTTTTTGATAGTCATAGCAAAACATAAGGCGATCGGGAATTGTCTTCTTTGGAACTTCAATGGTAGTCCTGGATTTGATGGTACCAAATTCATTCTAGGGATGTAAACTTTTTCCCTGACTCGATTTCCCGAAACCAAAATTGCACCAATAACATTATTTTGCAGCTCTTTAACGATTAATCTTGTTCCATTATGCAATCAAGATGTTTGGTCAATGTTCCTCAATAGCATAATTAGTATCCCCTTTTTCAAGATTATTTTGTGGTTTGGGATTCCCGAACATTTGATTTCATTCAAAAACTCAACTGTTAACCAATCACTATCAACACCTACATCTGCATTTGCTTGGCACGAAGAATCAGAACTCAAGTACTCATTTTCATCACCAGGAATGAGGGATAGGACAAATCCATTTATCATTTCAATTACTTCGAGAGTTGGTGCTAATAGTGCTCTATCCTCAAAAAAAGAATAATTTTTCATATTCTCTAATATATTCAGATAAGTGAAGTGCACTATACTCTTGATAGGAGAACTTGTATCAAGAATGAAGAATTCGAGCGGAATCTCAGCATCACTAGCTCCATCCATCACCCGACCTAGCTTTCCATCACACATTTTGATTATCCAATCAGAAAAAGCTTGTGTGTCCTCATTTGTGCAAGAAGACGTGGAAGAATGCAGTCTCATATTCCTGGTCAACGTATAAACTTTACAGTACGACCACAAATGTGAGGAATTGACCGTAGCACCTAAAATTTCATCTCTCGAAGCTCTGGGTAAAACTGGAAGGATCTGCCGAAAGTCACCTCCGAGTATAACTGTTTTCCCTCCAAATGGTTCATTTCTGTAGTTCCTATTAGAGAACCCCATGATATCTCTCATTATGCGATCTAAAGCCTCAAAAGCAAATCTATTCATCATGCATGCTTCATCCCATATGATTAGACTTGCTTGTTGAATCAATTCAGCTTTCGGGCTCCCTTGTTTGATGGCACACGTTGAGCACTCAGTTAGCGCCAATGGGATTGAAAAATCTAGAGTGTGCAGTCCTTCCACCAGGCAATAACAATGCTGCAATGCCATTGTATGCAACATTCAGAACAACCTTTCCTTTTCATATAAGAGAAGCGGATAATGATTTCCAGAGGAAGGTCTTTCCAGTTCCCCTGTAACCATACACAAAAAAGAAACCTCCTTTTCCAGCTATCACGACTTCCATTATATCGTCGTATATCTTCCATTATATCGTCGTATATCATGATTATTAAAACTATGATCACGTGCTTCGCATGGGCTCATATACATACTATAAATAAAATTTTATTTATTTTAGATGAAATTTTTTCACTCTAAGATATACAGAGTATTTTTAAATAAAAAGTATACTTTAAATATTGCTATATATGCACTAAAATTTATATAACTATTTTATTTAAAAAAATATTACATTAAATAAAACATAAACGTTCCAAAAAAATTTAACATCTTTGAAGGTGAATATTTTTTCAATTTTTCAGAAAGTGAAAATTTTTCAAACTAATAATAAAGAGTTTTATATATACTCTTCTTTAAAATTTTACAATCAATATAAATATTTAAAATACGAAGTAAATTTTACAATGGTGAAATATATATTTAGAGAATTGTTATTAAATGTTAAAGTTTTATACAAAATATAACCAAAGTAATATTTTTTATGCTAAAAAATAATATTCATTTAATATAATACAATAAAATATATTAAAAGATATTTAAAAAAAGAATTTTAATGAACCAATAAAATGCCTCCACCTCATTATTAAGTGCACATGTGGCATGCCACATGTCAACCTACAACCAACACACTCAACTTTACCTATATATACTAGTATTCTGACCCGTGCCATGCACGGAGTCAACAGAAATTTATGTCGATTCTGAATTATTTCAATGAAATTTATTTTTCGGAAAAAAGAAAATAAAACTATGATCACGTGATTTTTAATACTACAGATGAAAAATGCCAAATTAAAATAAATAATATTTGAGGAACTGACTGTAGAGTTAACAATGTTTATTTTAATACCAAATTTTCTGAAAGACTTCAGGGTATACAACATTTTTTGGTATGGTTGCAAGGGTTTCCATGGTCATCTAGAACCAATATCTTCAATCTTGTCTTTGTCTTCACTCGTGAAACAGCAGC